CCCCAAAACCCCAAAACCCCAAAACCCCGGGGAGAAGAGATATGGTTGATTGGTGGTTATTGGATTGGATTTTGGGATTGAGTGGGTTAGTTGGATAGTGAGTTATGGGCTTCTTCGGTTACTTTGATGAATGACATGTTGTGTTTGGACAACATTTGTTCGACTTTGGGTTTAGAAAGTTTGCATTCTCTGGTGTTTAGAGTTTGTAAGGAGTTTTTATATGGGGATCTACTGATGGCTTCTATGATGTTCTCAAATCTTTCTGGATAATTCCCCCAGTCCATTGTTACTTTAGAGTCTCCTCAACAGTAATCTAAACTTAAATATGTGGTTTTAGTTGGCTTAGATCCAAAATCCATTTTTCTTTAGTATGGACTTTACAAGCATGAATTATTAATCTTTCAGAATTTATAGATTTTTGGAAAACAGCTTCTAAATCTGTAGGAGTAAATTCAGAATAAAATTAATATATTTCTTTTGTGATTTTTGGCAAGCTATCTTTTAGCCCATTGATTACTTTTTCTATCCTACCAACAACTCTGCTCAATCATTATTCAAACACAGAAGAGGAAGTTTATCAGGAATAGAATGCGCCAAGAACTAGTCAAGACTTTCTAAAGGAATATCTTTGATGCTTTTAATATATACCCTCTTGATTATTTGGGAGTTTAACTTTGTTCTGTGCATAAGCTTCAATCAATTTCCTATGCTTTTCATTGCCTTTGAGTGTTTCAAGTTTAGCATTTGAGTCGAAAGTCTTGGCTTCTCCAACTATATCTTTGTACATGGCTTCGCAGAGTGGACCTTTAATGTGCTGCAAAATACCTTCTTTTTGATCCAACTCTTTTTGGCTCTTCTCGAGAGCTTTCTGAAGGTCTTCATGCTGGGTTTTGAGTTGATTATGCCGAATCGTAAGAGCAGAAAGTTCCTTCTCAAAGTCTTCTTTCTGAATTTGTTCTCTCCCAATCAGGTCTTGCTGTTCTTTTACTTTGTTGTTGAGCTCGTTCACTGCTCTTTCAATAGCTTTGACCTTTGCTTCAGAGTTCTTGTTATTCTCTTGGAGATCTTGGATCTGTTTCTGGCATTTAGCCTCAGTTCTCTCTTTGATATCTTTTGTCTTCTCTTGAATTTCCTTCTTTGTTTTGGCTTCAATTTGGTCTTTGAACTCTGTGGTTACTTCTCTGACAGTCTCCTCAAATTCTGGGGATTTTCTAATTGACTCTTTCTGGACAGCACCAATCTTGCTGTAAGTTAGTCCCACCAGCTCGCTGTCGAACAGCAACCTCAAGTTCAGATTGGAACCTTGCTCGTAGTTTCCTACTCTTCCAAAGTTGCCTCCAAGGATATCAGATTTGATTGTTCTTGCTTCTTCTATGAATAAGTGGAACTTCAAGAACTAATCCTTCTTCATTGCAATCCTGGCTTCTTGCTCGAACGCTTCAAATAAGCCAGAGATGTGCTTTATGCAGTCTGTAAGTCCACTGATATTTTCCATGAGTTTGTAAGCCTTTGCCTTCTTAGTAAGTGACGCCACAAAGTGATGGAGAAGCCCTACAGCGTTCCAGAGTTCGTCTTTGGAACGAATAGCTTGCACTGTGCAGTTGTAATGGAGAGAATCACAGCAGTCACTACACAGTCTCAGCTTGTGATCGAATCAGTAGTATTTTCGATCATTTTGACATTCATCATAGGCTCACTTGAGCCTTTTGAGAGGATCTTGGGTAGGCATTATTAAAAATAATTATAGAAAATTCATTAATTCAGTATTTTATTCTCAATACGGGGTTTTGGGGTTTTGGGGTTTTGGGG